AAGTGGCGCTGTGGCTCAAGTGGTAGAGCACAAGACTTGAGCTGAAGAGCTCAAGGAAAGCACCCAGGCCCAGACTTCAACTCCTACAATTGACAACAACAACAACAAGACAGAAAACACTAACAAATCTGAGGTAGAGGTCTGGGAAAGTGCATTAGGGATAGAGTGTTTTGCATCTATAAAACCCTAGGCTTGATTTGTCAGGATCATATCATTAGGAAAAACCCTGAAGTGGCTCTGTGGCTCCAGTGGGAGAAGGCTATCCTTCTACAAGAGAAACTAGGTACAGTGCTCAGGTCCTGAGTTCAAGCTCCAGGACTCATGTATGTGTGTGCGTGCACACATACCCCCACCCCCCCACCCCCACACAAACACACACACTCACAGACCAGAAGTGATGTTGTTACACAAAATGGAAAAGCACTGGGCTTCTGCACTGTGCTCCTGCTCAGCTCAAAGGCCTTGTGATCAAAACCTAGCCACCCAAGGCCCAACAAGGAGAGGTCAAAGGTTTCAAAACATGATGAGATTCACCAGCCCTAGAAGACAGGAAGCTTTGTGATATCCAACATGTGCTTGGATTTCCCAAACCTAGGAGAGGCATCATAGGCCCATCATTGCTCCAATGAAACATTTCATTAGATTCAGTGCCCTAGTTGTCTGCCAGAAGTACTCCTGAGTTATATTGAGCACTTTATCTGAACACAAAAACATAGTCTCACAAAGGCAGGATAAGTGCACATAACTTTATCTGCCATGGAAAGTGGCACAAATGAAAACTTGTTGTTAAAACAGAGCACTGGGGAGAGAGATAGCTTGGGGTACAAAGAGACCCTTTTCTCCTGACCTTCAGAGCACGCCCACATTCATCCTCACTAACTGGCTCAGGTGGAATTGTTTGTTACCAAGCTGTACAGGAGTGAGGCCTTTTGTCTGCCTGTCCACACAATGTGAGAGACTTCTTCCAGCAGGCCTGGGATGCAGAGAAACCCTCAGGTTACACTGGGAATAGTGATGAGTTCCCGGGAACATGCACTGTCTTGAAAGAAGTCTCTGTGTTATGAAATTATTGTATTGAATACAAATTTCCTAACTTGGTGCCATTCATCATAGCTATTCTATAGCTTCACCTATAGGAATACATCCATACATAGACAATGACATGTAAGTACAGGATCTTTTTGAGGGGGCAGGTCCTGAGGTTGAAATATGAGCCTAGGCATTGTCCCTGAGCTCCTTTTGCTCAAGGGTAGTACATGAAGCTTGAGTCATAGCCTCAATTCTGGTTTTTTTGTGATCTCTTAGAAGTAACAGTGTCATAGACTTTCCTACACTGGCTGGATTCAAGCTAAGATACTCTCCATCTCAGCATCCTAAGGAGGTGGGATTACAATCAGCAGCCATTGACATATTCTTTCCTTTCTTATTCTTTTTTTAATCTGGACAATCTGACTTCTTAGCAGGGTCATTCCAATGGTTTGAATTAATAAGTAAACTACCCAATGTTTATTATAGTTGCTTTCTCTCCTCATCTTCTTCTCTGGTCATAGGTTTGAGGCCAAACGTGAGAAATGAGTGTCACAGTATTTTGGAGCAAATATCCACAGGATATGCCAATTCTGTCACTTAGCATTGAGCTAGAATTTACTGTCTCAGGATGAGAGGACCGAAATCTGGAGTGATCCTCATACTGTCTGCATTGCTCCTTTTGCCTATGAAATGATCTAATCATTATGAGTGTTTTGTGTCTCCAACTTTAAGTATCTAGAACACACTAGAAGCATCTTTGTGTTTCTGTTTTTCTCTAGTACCTCTCGAGATTTAGACTAAGGATTTGTGTGAAGCAGCTCCTCTGCGAATCCCTGAGAAAAGCCACTTGAAGCCTCTTCAGGAGATCGCCATTCAAAGCCAGCTGAGCAGGAAACTCGGTGAGACTCTTATCTACAATAAACCACCAGTGAACCAGAAGTGGAGCAGTGGCCCAGAGGGTAGAGCTCCAGCTTTGAGAGAGAAAGCTGAGCAGGACGTACAAGCCAGACCATGCAGGAAAGCCTGGGAGTTGATTATGTCCAATTAACGACCAGATAGCTCTTCAATTACTTTCTGTTGGCATGTTGCATGGGCCTAGGTGAGAAGTCTTGCCCCTGTTATCTGATGATACAGGTAACTGGGACCTGAGATCCTAGGACCCATGGGTCCTACAGAAGAGAAGTATTTTTTAGACATCATATCAGCAAAATTTGGGCATAATCACTGGAGTGCTTCAGAAATATGGAGAAAAACAGTTTGGGACCAGCGAGTTAAAACAATAAACAGAGCAGCAGAATAAAATCCCATATAGATTAGAGGAAAACAACACTCATTTTTTGCTATGTGAATTCAGAAGGCCATGTACACTTAGAAGGTATCACAAGTTTGTACCTAAAATATTGCATTGATACATTTTATATTCTGATATATATTCTAAACCTAATTATTTATATTCTAATTGTATTGATTGGAATAAATATCAATTTATTTGTCAAATTATCAAATAATTCTAGTAACTTTCGTAGTGTGAAATATAAAATCATCACATATAAATGTAAAATATATAACTATATATAATATAATGAAAAGGCTCATGTTTTGCATTGTTCTGTTGTGGTTAGGGTATCAAAGGCAACTCTGTTTTAAAGTATTATTCCATTATCTCTACCTCAGTGTTTGGTAGAGTTAAACCTAAAGCTTTACCATTTGTAGATTTACAGCCTGGATGCAAGAGGAACCACTGTGGTTAAAACATTAGCAATTTAGGGAGGTTGAGCTTTTCTTCATGTGTCTATTGGCCATTCTTCTTTCTTCTTCAAAGAAGTTTCTCTTTAAGTCTTTAGCCCACTTATTTATTGGACAGTTGTTTCTTTGAGTATTTGTTGTTGGGGATTTAATTTTTTGAGTTCCAAGTATATTTTAGATATGAGACCCGTGTCGGTTGTATGGCTAGTGAAGATCTTCTCACAATCCGTGGGCTGTCTATTGATCTTGCTAGCTATGTCCTTTGCCATGCGGAAGCTCTGCAACTTCATGCAATCCCATTTGTCCAACCTTTCTTTGATTTGTTGTGTTTCCGGGTCTCTATTAAGAAAATTTCGGCCTGCGCCAAGGAGACCTAGGGTTTCTCCTATTCCATCCTGTAATGTTTTCAGAGTGTCTGCTTTGACTCCGAAGTCTTTGATCCATTTGGAGTTGATTCTGGTGTAGGGTGATAATGCAAATCAAGACAACATTGAGATACCACCTCACCCCAGTTAGAATGGCAAAAATGAAGAACTCTAATAACAACAGATGCTGGAGGGGATGTGGACAGAAAAGAATCTTACTGCATTGTTGGTGGGAGTGTAAACCTGTTCAACCACTTCTCAAAAAACTTCACATTCAGCTCCCCTATGACCCAGCAATCCCACTTTTGGGCATTTACCCAAATGTTTACAAACAAGACCACACTATAGCTATCAGCACACCTATGTTTATTGCAGAATTATTTACCATAGCTAAGATATGGAACCAATCCAGATGCCCCTCAGTACATGAATGGATCAAGAAAATGTGGTATATATACACAATGGAATTCTATGCCTCCATCAGAAAGAATGGCATTACCCCATTTGTTAGGAAATGGAAAGATTTGGAAAAAATTATATTAAGTGAAGTAAGCCAGGCCCAAAGAAACCTAGGTCCCATGGTTTCTCTTATTTGCAATATCTAGTATATGTATGAGTCAAGCAGAAAAGGTCAGATAATGTGATGTTAGGAAAATGAATCCTTAGATATGTATTTAAATGTTTTTTTTTTCTTTCATGCATTTGTTTCTAACGCACTTATAAGATTATCTTTTTGTTGCTTTGTATGTCCCTCCCCCAGATTATAACCCCTGCTTTCACTGTATTTGATGTCGGTATAATTTGTGAAGGAGAAAGGGAAAAACAAGTCGTTTAAGGATACAGGTGGACCTGTTGCAACAATGAGAAGTACAAGTTGTCATGTCGAAAACGAGCTTTACAACATTGGTTGGGAGGAGGATTGGGTGGGGGTCGGGGGGAGGCTGGGAAGAGATGTGAAGGGTAACAAAGGAGGAGGTTGCAATACTTGATAAAAAATGTACTCATTATCTTGCCCATGTAATGTTACCCCTCTGTACATTTTGTTCACAATAAAAATAAAAATAAAAATAATGAAAATAATAAAAAACATTACCAATTTAAGGCCTAATAATGAAGAGAAATATATGGACTTCTCTTGTAACTATGAAAATATTTGGTGATAAAATGGCAGGAGTGTAAGTTCCTGCCTTTTTGGAAGGTAGACAGGCCAAGACATTAGGTAATCATGAATATGAACAATTTTTCACTTTCTTGGTTTTAGCTACATTTGAAATGGTAGGTATCATAAACAATCATATTTTGATAAAATGCCTTCTAGTATGAGCAGTTCTGGCTGAACTGTTCATCTCTCTATGATCCCTTGTAACTAAGATTAGATGTGTTCCACTAATACAATCTATGCTGTCAGAGTAAGATATTCTGGTTGGTCTATTCCTACATGGAAGAAGGGTAAAGGGTCAGGTAGACATTTGTGCCAGTAAGACCTCATTTGGGAAAATCTCAGCTGCATATGTTTAGAAGTAGCTCTTAAACAAGGCTTACTTTGAATCCATTGGCTCCACAGATCTAACACAGTTGGATAAATAAGTACTTGAAAAAGCCGTCTCCTTTGGACTTAGCTATTAATACTTGAAAGTTTGATCAAATTCTAAGTGAAAAAGACTTAAAATAGTCATTGACAAAAAAATTGCAAATGTGAGCAATCAACTGTACAACATATTTTTTTCAACTATTCACAGAATTTTAGGGAAATAAGATTAATAGCATTTTTAGGAACAATAAGGTTTCCTTGTTACAAATAGGCACCTAAGCATATAAGCCTGTATAAATATTTCATCATTAACTACTAAAATTTACAGGATGCTACATTCTTCAGCAGCTTGTATACCAAAATTACAACAATACAGAGATTAACATGGCACTTGTACAAGGATGATATGAAAATTTGTGAAGTATTCAAAATTTTTCATTCTTCAGATGCAAGAAATGAAAAACAGCTATTAAAAAGTTGATTACAAAATTACAAGTGTAACAATACACCTAATTCATATAATTAAAAGTTACTTTGACATCAGTGTATTAAATTTTCACCTTAGAAAGGCCTTTACATAGCATGACCTTTACACAACTTTTGAAATTAGACAACATTGTTGTTTTATCCCAAAGAAATATAATACTAAAAGGACCTAGGGGAAAAAAAAGGAATCTTAAACTGTTTCTGTATGGAATGCAATCTGAAAGGACACATTAATGAACCTATATGTTATAAAACAATTTAGAATTCAATGTATTATATCTAGGAGAGAATAAAATAGATTATGGACACTATACAAACATAGAATATAGAATATTTTAAAATATACTTTTTCAGACAAACACCGGAAATATCTTTAGTTTCTATACTACTCATTTCAACAGATAAGTTAAAATTATTTCCGATCAACAAAATCACAAACTCTGCATAAATCATTATAGATGTATACAAAAACTCTTGAATACATTTTGACATCAAAAGCAGACAATTCACTTTGAAGAACTCCACAGAATCCATGAATTGTTACTATAAGATATTGTTGTTATTTGGATTGTGAAAATATGTTGTATTGACAAAAAGGAATTAATGACATTTTGGAAATTTAAGAAAATTAACCGAATCATTAGGATTTAGGAGAACAATTTGTACAGCCTTCCACAACTTCAAAGAGGTAGTGATACATACTTATCCTTTTGGTAATATCAAATGCAGTTTCTTCCAAGTGGTTCTTCAGACCTGGTTTGACATATTGGTTCAACAGTTCCAGTGTATTTTTGCTATCTCAATTACCAGCAGCAAGATGCAAGGGGGTCAAAAAGCGTTTAGTTTGGGCATTGGTATCTGCATCATGAAGAAGAAAGAAGCCACTCTGGTATTATTACACGTATATGCACTGTGCAGGGGTGTCCAGCCATCTACAGTTCTTGCATGTGCCCCTTGAGCCACGAACTCACGGACAATGTCTAAGTGTCCACTGTAGGCTTCCCGATGAAGACGGGTATACTCATCGTCATCCCTAGTATTCACATGAGTAGCCTTTTTGGAAAGTATTCTCTGCACTGTAGTAAGCTGGTTATTTTCAGCAGCCCAAAGAAGAAATTTGCTTGGATCCTTCTCCATTTTTTTTCTTGCAATTTTTATCATTCCTCACATTTTCATCTTGTTCCTCATCTTCATTAGAATTGCCTAACCAGACACATTGAGTGCCAGTGGAAATGAGGTGTCCATGTATTTCCCTAATAGTTCATGTTGGTTGAACTGGTCAGAAATATCTGGTGAATTCTCTGCGTATGTTTTTTCACCATGATTTATTTTCTTTTTCCATTTTTACTATTCGAAATTATTCTAACTGGAGATTAGGGAATAAATGGAGAGCAGAGGAAAGATGTTCCTCCATATTCAAAGGTACAGACTGAAAATGAGGACCAGTGGTGTCCTCATGTGCAACTTATTCTAGGAATGAGAAAATGTGAAATAATGCCTCCTATATAAATGATTTGGGAAATGGCAGTGGAGAAAGTGAAATGATGCAACCCAAAATATAAAACAATATAAATTAGGATAATTATGGAGCAATCATATTATCTATGAGAGCCATGAAAGACAGAGATGAGCTATCCACAAAATCCATGCCTCTGATCAATTTATAGAACAAGCAGAAATTTTTTTTTAAAAAAAGGTGGAAATAGAATTTATGTATTTACTTGAAATTAGTTAATACCTTTTTAATAGCCTACATAAGAATCTAAATCCTTGATAGCACTAGTAACAGATCTGACTGAAATCAGTTGAATCACACTTTTCCTGTACAATGAAGGAATAGGTACAGGCTAGGAAAGCAGCTAGAAAAGGCAGGCTGATTGTATCTGTGAGAAAACTTTGTGGAAACTGGTATTGAGGATTACTTACTGGTGACCCACTTGCACTGGAAGCATGATTCTGACCTCTTGCTTGCTGATTCTGAACTATTGCTTTGATCATTATATTCTCCAAAAAGAAAAAGTCAGAATTGATAACAAAGGACTACTAATACAGTTTGACTTTTCATTAAGCATATTCAATCATCAAAATCACACGAAGACAATAGACAGGCCTATTTTTTTTAGATGAAAACAAGTGTCTTTAAAAAAACAAGGAATTTAAGTAGTCTTCCAAAGGACTTCCATTTTACTTACTGCATTATACATTTTTCCTAATGTTGAGTAACAATGAATAATGGATCTATTAGAAAGCTCTTAAAGCTCGTCTGTTCAATACTGAGTTCTCTTACACTATATTATGGTATTTTTTTGTATGGTCTTAGGAAGAAATTTACTTTACTAACTTGAATTTGTGACAGGACAATATCATGACTGTACATCTTTCTTCTATACTCTCAGTTTTACATTATTATCTAAATATGTGCATTAAAAAAGTATAGAGGAAAAAGTAGAAGCCACACTGGTGGATCATGGCTTTAATCCTAGCTAATCAGAAAGAAGAAATCTGAGAATTGTGGTTTGAAACCAGACCAAGAAAAAAAAGTCCATTAGATCTTGATTTGAAAGTAACCAGCAAAAGCTAGAAATGGAGCTATGGAGCTAGAAATGGAGCTATGGTACAAGCAGTGAATGCTAGCCTTGAGAAAACTAAAACAAAAAATTGACAAATTCTGAGACAGAGCCAGGCCCTGACTTCAAGCTCTAGTATTAGCATCAAACTAATTAATTAATTAATCAATTAAAAATAAATTAAGTGGTCACATGTGGAGAAAATGCTCAGGGATATCACCCAGGCTCTTATTTCAAAAACTACAATCTACCGAAAAAATCTATTTAAATAATACCTGTGTAAATAGAGTATTTTCATCACCCAAATGCACATCCATGCTCAGTTATTTTTGCAAGGTAACTCTGTTATGTCTGGAGTACCACATAACATTATCACTTAAGTAGAAAGCATTGAAACATGGGTTCACTGTATCTCTCTAATGGATTTTTCTCCCCACAAATACTCAAATCTTACAATTATTCCAATTCTTTGAAGTCATAGCTTTTTTCTTTAACATCCATAATATTAAAGTTTGAATTTAGTGTCTTGTGTCTCCTAAATGGGTGTTCTTACCAGTTTGTCATGCCCCCAGCCCTAAATTATCCAGATTAATTTTCAGATAGAATCTGGCTTCCTACTTGTGTATGATCATGGGCTCAGTCCACTTGATGTTATTCTTCCTGGAATTTAGATTAACAGGTGTCTGGCATTGTGTACAGATCTTTATGTCCAGTCTGGGCTTTAACCACTATCCTCACAACAGTAGACTCCCATATAGTCAGGTTTTTCATAAGCTTACCATAGCTGATTTTTTAAATAAATCTTTGCATTTCCTGCAGGTTCTTGAGTACTGAATTAATTTGTGTTTTCTTTGGGTTCGTTTGTTTTATTTGAATATATGTATTCAGTGGTTCCTCATTTTTCATTTGGTTTCTTTCACTCAAGTTCTTACCTAAAGTGCTGAGAAACCAATTCTTCTTTCTCAAGATAGTCAAGCTGAACTTTATTTATTCCAAACCAATTTCAGTAATATTTAAACATCTTCATATCTAGGAATGGTACACAAATGCTTATCACTGAGAAGGGTCTTTTTATTTTCACAGCATCTTTGGCATTCACAGACTTATCATGAATTATACAAATATAATAAAACTCAGATGCTTGCCAGGAGGAGAAAAACCTATTACTAATTGTTTGACAGAGGCTTCCCTTCCCGTGAATGAAATACGCTGCTTGATGCAGGATTTCACAGAATCATATTGCTAGGGAGAGCCTAAAAAATCAGGTAACACTACAGAGTTGAGGGAGATTACTTGACCTCCTGAATAATTTACTTTTATGTCAAATAAAAGCAGGCTTCCAAAAAGAGAGTAGACTTTAGAGAAACATGATGAGTTGTATGTAAATAGGTGCTTAGCTGACTTTGTTGATTGATGAACTAATACAGGGAAATAAAGTACAGCACGGTAAAAAAATAAAGAACTCTGCATTGAAATAATCATTTCTGTGTGTGTGTGTGCATGCACATATGTGCGTGTACACACACATGTATGTGCATTGCTCATGCATGCATTATTCATTGCTGAGGCTTGAGAGTGCCTAGACTCTATCCCAAAGCTTCTGGTCAAGGAGAGTGGTCTACCACTTAAGCCACTACTCCACTTATGGTTTTTTGGAGATAATCACATGTATTGTCATGATTGGACTGGCTTTGAACGGTGGTCTTCAGATCTCAGCCTCCCGATTCAGTCTCTGAGTAGCTTGTTAAAATGCTGCCTGTACTCTATGCTTCACTGCTGTTTTATACTTTTCCTGAGGTAATCACAAGTCTAAGTCATATATGTCTAATTGTTTAAAAATATTTACTGCTTGGCACCAGCGCTCCCAACTGTACTCTTAACTACTTAGGAGACTTGAGAACAGAACCCAGGCCACATTTTAGTGGACTTCCTTAATCTATAACTGGGTGCATTGGATCATTTCCACCATCTTGCACTATCTAGAGACTAAAATTGGAAGGACTGCAGGATCAAGGCCAGCCATGGTAGATAGTGCAACTCTGATGCCTTTGATGATGGGAAGGCTAAAAGGACAGATCAGGTGCATGTTCTTGTGGAAAGGGAACCCCTACCCTAAAATTAACAACTGATATGATGCCTGCCTAGCAAGAACAATACACCAAGTTGAAATCCCCACCAAAATAAGTATATACCTTAACATCCAAAAACATATAGCATCTGTTCTTTGCTCTAATATAATCTTTATCTGATTATCATATGATATGGCAGAATAGTTTCTTCGTTAAACTTATGATATATTTAAAAGGACCTAGAAAATTCTTCCTCTCTTCTTAAGTGCAAACGAATGGCAAATTGCCTCATTTGTTACATATTTGACTACCAC